TCATTGCATGGCAGACTGGAAGAGTCATTTGCTGAGTGGAGTTGTACCTCACTAAAACTTAAGTTTTTTTGGGAGGTAGGGTAAGATGAAGGATTCTGTATACTAAAAGGAAGAAAGTGAGACTGGATACTAGGGGATATTTGGCAATCTAGGTGACGTGTATTCAAGGTGTCAATAATAACATTAAGATTTCTCTCCATTCCCCAAAGTAGCAGGAAATCAATACAGGAAAATCTTTCTTACTTTTAAATGACTGTGCTGAGATTAATGTGAAATTGTAAATGTTTTTGTGGTATTATTTGAATTACTTAAAGTTTAACAAAGTTTGCAGTTGTTTTGACTGAGAGCCACGTTTTAATCATGCCACTGTTTTTCTCTATGTATTACTTCTGTGTCCCAAACTTTGTGGAATGATGAGACTCTTATGTTTGTGTGTTTGCAAACAAAAGACTAGAGCTGGTGTTTATTTCTGTCTTATTTTATAGTCAGTCAGTGGTGATTTTGAACATTTGATGACGAGCAGCCATGTGAACTGTGAAAAGTAGTAGATGGTCATTTGTTTGTTCCTTATCTCCCTGTCCTGCACTCTCTTTTTAATACCTGCTCCTTCTCCAAGTATGTTATCAACATGGTTAAGAACTATTTAGGGCTTATAATGAAATGCAATATTTTCTTTTCCCCTACACCATTTCCTAGGAGCTCTGGTAGCATAGTGCCTAAGGCACTTGACTGCTAACCAGAAGGCTGGCTGTTCAAACCCATCAGCCACTCCTTGGGAAGGAAGGTTGGGCAATCTACTTCCGTAGTGACACTGCCTCGGCAACCCAAGGAGGGATTGCTATGAGTCGCAGCCAACTCGATGGCACATAACAACAACAACAACACCATTTCCTATTCCCAGTACAATTCTTTGGAAAACAAAACAAAAAACACTTTGAAATGTTTCACGACTTCTATATTTCTGAATAATGGGTTTGTATTAAACGTTCCTTGATAATACCACTTTTAGGAATTAAATACTTATTCACTACTATATAGGAAAGGCTTTAGCTCATTTGTATACTTTCTCCCTTCGTTATATTTTTCTTTTAATTAGCTTTAATATTTCTTAAACGTTTTCTTTGTCCATTCAGTAAAAGATGGTCTTTCTTGATTCTCAAATTAACAATTACACATATTTTGTATTCTTGCTCTTCCTCTTCCTATCTTTCCCCTTTTTGTTCTCAATTTTTGTCATCTCTTACTTTACTTTTAAAATGTAATGCTTAACTATGTTTATATTAGTTTTTGTAACTGTGATTGTCTTGTATGGTTTGTTTATTGCTAGATTCTGACATCTGCTAATAGTTTTCTTTTTATGACTACTTAAGTGTTTTGTTCTCTTGTACTTAAGGTCACCATGAGTTTGGAGCTGACCTGATGGCTGCTAACAACAAAACATATTCACAGAAAAGTCAATGGCAGATACTGTTTTAACACAGTTTTATTGTCTACAATTTAGATTAAAATTTTGTTTCTTTTTTGGTTTTTTACATTATCTGTTTATTTTTATTTTTATTTTTTAATACCCTTAGTTTTTTCAATGTATCAGTTGTCCTCTATTCTACACATTTTCCTTCTTGGCAGTGATCTCCCTTTTAAAGCCCTCTCTCATCTCTCATCAATTTTGTCAGCCTGTGGTCTTCCTGTCGTTTTACATCTTCATGAAATTTATTGAAAAATTTCTTATTTTTGTAATTGGGCTGTACTTTTCTTTTTAAACCCTTTATCATTTTCATTTTAGTGAGTATAAAAAAACCAAAAAGCAAACTCACTGCAGTTGAGTCGAATAGATAGGTTGTAAATACAAGTGTTCAGTTCAGTATCTTAATTCTGAAATGTGGATGTTTTTAGAGTTTGATGTCCATATATCTAAGTCGGAGTGATAATATATGTGCTAAAGACTAATGTTGTAATTTTTTTGGATGAAATGTTTACCAATACACCTAAAAGAGTATAAAGATTAAAAATGTGTGTTAGCATTGATACTGTCATGCAAATAAACATTTAGGATAACATTTGCATATGTTAATACAGATTGTTCTGTTTTACTTTTTATTATTCCGTTATTGAAGATGTGTATCCTTTTCAGATTTAGGTCTCTTTTTCACTGCAAATAACTCCACAACTTCATTGTCCAGCATTTCTTTAAATTGACTCATTTTACCATTATACAAGGCGAGTGACCAAACTGGCAGATGTTGTTGTTGTTGTTAGGTGCCATTGAGTCGCTTCTGACTCATAGCGACCCCATGCACAGCAGAACGAAACATTGCCCCACCCTGCGCCAGCTCCATGATTCTTGCTATACTTGAGCCCATTGTCGCAGCCACCATGTCAATCCAGCTAGTCGAAGACCTTCCCCTCTTTTGTCGACCCTCCACCTTACCAAGCATGACATCCTTCTCCAGGAAATGTTCCCCTCTGACAACATGACCAAAGTAGGTGAGACGAAGTCTGGCCATCCTCACTTCTAAGGAGCATCTCGGCTGAACTTCCTCTAGGACAGATTTGTTAGTTCTTTTGGCAATCCATGGTACCTTCAGCATTCTTCGCCAGCACCACAACTCAAAAGCATCAACTCGTCTTCAGTCTTCCTTATTCATTGTCCAGCTCTCACATGCATACAAGGCGATTGGAAATATCATGGCTTGTGTCAGGCACACGTTAGTTCTCAAGGAGACATCCTTGCTCTTCAGCACTTGAAAGAATTCCTTCGCAGTTGACCTATCCATTGCTACATGTTGTCTCATGTCCTGATTGCTGCTTCCATTGGCCTCGATTGTAGAACCAAGCAATGTGAATTCTTTGATAACCTCAATCTTTTCTCTGTTTATCGTGATGCTGCTTACTGGTCCAGTTGTGAGGATTTTTGTCTTCTTTATATTGAGATGTAATCCATACTGCAGACTGTGTTCCTCAATCTTCATCAGTAAGTGCCTCAAGTCATCCTTACTTTCAGCAAGCAAAATTGTATCATCAGTATATCTCAGGTTGTTAATGATTCTTCCTCCAATCCTGATGCCACATTTTTCTTCATATAGTCCAGTTTCTCGGATTATTTGCTCAGCAAATAGATTGAATAAGTATGGGGAAAGGATACAACCCTGACACACTCCTTTCCTGATTTTAAACCATGCAGTGTCCCCTTGTTCCGTTCGAATGACAGCCTCCTGGTCAAGGTACAGGTTCCTCATGAGTACAATCAAGTGTTCGGGAATTCCCATTCTTCTCAATGTTATCCATAATTTGTCATGATTCACACAATCAAATGCCTTTGCATAGTCAATAAAACACAAGTAAACATCTTTCTGGTATTCTTTGCCTTGAGCCAAGATCCGTCGGACAGCAGCTGTGATATCCCTTGTTCCACGTCCCCTTCTGGATCCAGCTTGCACCTCTGGAAGTTCTCTGTCAATATACTGCTGCAACCGTTTTTGAATTATTTTAAGTAAGATCTTACTTGCGTGCGATATTAATGATATTGTTCTATAATTCCACATTCTGTGGAATCACCTTTCTTTGGAATGGGTACAAATATGGATCTCTTCCAGTCCGTTGGCCAGGTAGCTGTCTTCCAAATCTCTTTGCATAACCGAGTGAGTGCCTCCAATGCAGCATCCATTTGTTGAAATATCTCAATGGGTATTTCGTCAATTCCCAGAGCCTTGTTCTTTGCCAGTTCCGTCATTGCAGCTTCGACTTCCTCCTTCAATACCATTGGTTCTAGATCATATGCCACCTCCTGAAATGGATGAAGATTGACCAGTTCTTTTTGGTACAGTGACTCTGTGTATTCCTTCCATCTTCTTTTGATGTTCCCTGCATCATTCAATGTTTTTCCCTTTGAATCTTTCAATATTGCAACTCGAGGCTTAAATTTTTTCTTCAGTTCTTTCAGCTTGAGAAATGCCAAGCCTGTTCTTCCCTCTTGGTTTTCTAACTCCAGATCTTTGCACATTTCATTATAGTAATTGGTTTTGTTAACTGGCAGATAGTGATGGTAAAAAAAAAAAAAAAAGTTTCCTAGGTTGAGAGGCTAGTATTAGTTCTGAATGCTAATGGACTCTACTACCAGACTGGATGACATGTTGTGTGATACTTTTAAACTACTTTTTATCTTTACAAGAGAATAGTATTGTAAAAATGTCAAAAAATATCCACATGCCCAGTTCACTGGTAAATATACTGCTAAATTTGAACCTTTTTGGCAGTAGCTTATGCTACTCAAGGGACCATATTTTTACAGAATGATATATTTCAAAGGATATTGGTTTCCATTGTAGAAAATTCATGCATTTAGAGCAACTTTAAGCCAAAACAACTATGCTTATGCCCTGTGTTTAAGATATTAGTCATCTTGAGTACATACCCAGGTTAAGTGACAGAAGCTATATATTGTGCAAAAAGAAAATTTATTGTTAGGAGTGTTGCTTGTACCTATGCTTATGCAGCATTTTCCTAACAGGATCAATTTGAGTATATGAACTAATACCAGCCAGATTTTTGTACAGTAACGGTATTGATAATAAAGGAGAAGTTCAGTGAGGAGAAAAACAAATAAAGGAAGCATAAAAGTCTCATACTGTATGAAACTACAGGAATGGATCAAAGAGTTTGACAGGAAATTTAATGTGTACATAAGTAGAGGCTGACAGGAACATGCTGTGTGTGCCAAAGGTTCCAGTGATGGAAAACCGAAACATAGTGCTCACTGACCACAGCATGAGCCTTGACACACATTGTAAATAATCCAGAGATCTATGACTGCATTAAGCACTAGGCTGGTGTATTAACGACAGTAAATCTATAGCAGCAGAAATGGCTGGCATGCAGAAATTCTCTGATTAATTTTTGTAATGGATTAATAGGAATATAGCAAATATTTTCATTTTGAGTCCTCCATCCTCCAGTCCTCCCTCCCCCAGTGTGATCATTTTTCATTCTCTTCTACCTACCAGACTTGTGTATGTGGATACTTGCTTCAGCACCTTGAAGTTAAAAGCCAAGGATGCTTCTAGCAGAGAGCATCTAATCACTCTCAAGTTGAAGGCTAAGGTATGTGCTTCCTTAAACTGTTATTGTGGTCAGGAAATACTTTGTGAGGTGAACTCTGAATGTTTTCAATGCAAAGAAGTGTCAGTTGCTTTTAAAAACACATAGCTGATGCTTTCAAAATTTGATTTTGGAAAAGCGCAGAGAATTTATTCACCAGGTTTTCAAAATCTTAGATAAAATTTCACGTCATTATTATAGTCTAGATTTGATAAAAATCTAGACTTTATAATAAAGTAGGTAAGATTTGGCAGCCTCAAAGTACCATAATGTTATTTTTGTAATATGCTGTATAGAAAAGAATTGCAAGCTTCATCTGTCCCAAGTGAAGTTCTCTTGATGGAAAGCCCTCTGCCTTCTGCTCTATGAATTATCTTTGTAGGTCTTATCTCGCTTATCTCCAATCCCCTGCCCTTCACTACACCCAAAATACACAGTTATGCTTTTTTGTTGTTTGATTGTTTTGGCTGAAGTTTTTTTGATTTGAGTATTTTATTTTAGGAATTTGGGAAGGTCATGCCTCTGTTTATAGGCCCCTTATAGACTAGTGATCTATATAGCTACTTACTAATTTTACAAGAGAGAATGGCCAGACTTTATCTCACCTACTTTGGTCACGTTGTCATAAGAGACCAGTCCCTGAAGAATGGTGTCATGCTTGGTAAAGTAGAGGGTCAGTGAAAAAGGGGAAGACTTTGAACAAGATGGATTAACACAGTGGCTGCAACAATTGGTTCAAGTATAGCAAGGATTGTAAGGATGGCACATGCTGGGTAGTGTTCCATTCTGTTGTACATAGGGTTGCTATGAGTCAGAGCCAACTCAACAGCAACTAACAATTTTACTGGCACAAATCATGGCTGTTTCATCTTAACTCAATCTATAGCTTTAAATTTTGAATTTTGATTAATAAGCAGAATGAGCAAATTGAGCATATTAATAGTTTACTTAGTAATCACTAGGGAGGTGTTAGGATTTGAAGAAAACCAGGATATCCAACTTTTTTTTATTGTTCCTAAGAGTCATCAATCAACTCTATTTCAGAAGATTGTAGTGATGAAAAGATCAATTGTGTTTGTCCTTTTTAAAAATGTGTCTGGCATTTAAGCTTTCCGCAAGAGAAAATTAATATATAAAGCTGTACTGGGTGACACAGAAAAGTTGATATCTTACAGTGCTTCTGTATCAGACAAGTTGAGAAATGACTCATTCTCTCTTTCTCACACACGGAACGTTCAGGTATTTTAAGAGCCGTATGTGATAAGTGTTAGAAAAAAATTCGTGGGCTAGAAAGCTTATTTGTAAAATAAATTATACTGCTGTATTTTCCTTAAAATGAAAATAATTTTATTTTCTTTCTTAGTTTTTAAAGATGTGTTTTTTTCAGATCTAGGAAAAATCTGCCTTTTTCCTCCTAAAGGTCACATTCTGCCAGTGGCAAGTGTTCTGTCATTTCCTTCAAAGCTGGCTCTATTTGTTTATAATTTTGTACATTGATAAAAGTTGCTTTATTGTTACAAAGACCAAAATGAAAGATGTAAATACATCCTGATCTTATTTGTTTATTTGAATAGCCTCATTTTTTACAACCTTTTATACTTATTAAAGAGATAATGCTTTATGTCTATACTGCCTTAAATACACTAATAGAATTTTAATGTTAATTCCAGTTAGTGACATTTACTTCCTTAACTGATAGCATTACGAGTGAGGATGTAGCCACTACTATGGTCCATTCTACCTGCATATTCTTATACTTTTTCAAGGTAGATATGATGACACTATTAATATTTTTCTGGGGAATATTTTCAGCTACCAGTTTTTACCGTTGTGGAATCCCTGGCAAGAGAAAAGAGAAGGCTCTATTCGAGATGTAAAGGAATTGGGTGGGGGGAGGATGCTTTATGAAAAAGGTAGGATGGAACTGAATGGATCTTATGTTGGTATGCATTTTGATGTTTTAGAATCTTTAATTCTCTGTTTATTTTAGTTTTTATAGAAGTCAAAATTGTTTTTGAGATATGGTCATTTCTCTTTCAGGAATATTTGAGTCTGAGATTGTTGGTTGAAAAATGTGACAGCTGAAATTCTGTACATTAAGAGTATGTAATACAGATGCTCATCCAAACTAAATTGTACAGGGAAAGTTGAATTTTTAAAACAAACTTTTTAAAAACCTTAGTTTTATGAACACAGTAGACCTTTATCTTTTTTTTTGTTTTGTTTTTTTTTTTTGGTAGATAGCTAAAGAAATGTGTTTGTTTCATTATTTTTCTGAAAAATACATACCCTCCCAATTCTACCACTGCCCATTATCTTCCCCAAAAACCCACAAACAATACCAACTTTGATTGGACAACTTTTATTAAAAATAAATGTGAAAAATCAAAAAGAAATGGGAAATAGTTGACTTTTATGGCTTTTCATAGCTGTATTTTTATGCAGTACTTATTTCATTATAAAGCATTCTGAACTGTGGATGGAATTATTATCTTTTCATTATAAAAGGTTTGTTGCAGAACTTTCTTAGGTTTGGCCAAGATCACAGCTACTTGGAAAACAAATCACAGATGTGTATCAGAGGTTGGCCACTGTCTCTGATAGCTGTTTCTGTAATCTGTTCCAGTTTGCATGTATAGCCATATGCCACATAATGTCCATTCAGACACCATCCGACCACATATATGTCTTTGGTCCCATCAAGTTATAGTAGAGTTCAGAAATCCCAGTCAGTGGATAGGATGTAGCAAACACAACTGCTTCCTGGATGCAACGTGTATCTCTTGTATACAAAGCGGTTGCGCTGCCAGGTGTATAATAGTCTAGTACATATGTAACCTATAATACATAGGTCTTGATAGTCATAATAAACACCTATGTTACTGGCTTATGTATGTTCTATACTGTACTTTCTGTTCAAAAAATTTACCATATAAAAGTATATGCTCCAATTCATAGGCAGTATCATCCAGTCTTGAGTGTCATGCGTCTCTTGAGTGTTTTAATGTTATCTCTGTTTAATTCGTTTTCGAAAATGTTACTGTGAAGTGCATCATGGCTCCCAAACACCGCAAAACCGGTGTTTGTGATAGCAGCAGCAAGAGGCGAAGGAAAAGTATCAATTTGGAAGTGAAAGAAAAGGTTATTAAACAGCACAAAAGTGGAAAATCAGTGAATGCTATTTCTCACGATTCAGGCATGTCACACTTGACAATCACACTGATCCTCAAAAACAAAGAAAAAAATTCTCCAAGCTATTAAAGGATCCACTCCACTGAAAGATACATGGCTGATGAAAATGTGAGAGGGACTATATCACATACAAAGAAATTGACAATGACTTGGATTGAGAACCAAGCACAAAAGATAATCCCTCTCAGCACATTGATGGCACTACTAAGGTGTGAAACTTGTTCCAAATAGTTAAAGAAAAAGCAGGACTAGACTATGATAACGCCCAAATCACATAACGTCCTGTTTCATGGAATGTATTGTGGATGTTAAGTAATATATGACTGTATTCACATTGGGCAGCAGCCTCACTGATTAGATGGTCCAATCACAGTAGAATAGGCTAAAATTTTCCTTACGATAATATGCTGTACAATGTATAATGCATTGTATGTCACAAAAAATGTATACTTAATATTTATAATTACTGATCTGATTAAATTACTTCAAGTGAGATTTGGAGAATTATCTTTTAATTAAAAATAATTAAATACTATATTTATTTTTAAATTAATATTCTTATATATGGATCTTTTGTTATTGCCATCAGTTAGATTTCTAAAGTAAAAATTTCGGCAATTATTTTATAAATGGTATTATATATACTTAGCAGTTTACCATTGAAAACTATCTCAATTTTGATATAGTTATAACATTGTAGTCAATAGTCTACAAATTCAAGGAAACTACTCTGAAAATAAATATTTAGGATACTGCTTGATATTTTAATTATTAAAGATTAATCATATATAAATGTTTTTTTTCAGTTCTGTATAATTATGTCAGGTTCATTATATTAATAAAATTGATCCTATATGTGGGTATAATATATCATATATTTATTTGACTATAATAGGTACACAATAAAGCCACCTGCATATAGATCAGCCATGTTTGCCATATGCATATATGTATGTATGCAGAGTTGCTCTTATAATTAATATATTTGAAAGATGTCACTATTGCAGAAACTACATAGTATACTCATTTATGTTTGTGGTATCGTTATTGTTATTTTAACCTGCTTTTTCATTTAATTAATCATGGACCTCTTTCCATGTCAGTGCATACAGTACCATATACAATATTGAGTTCTTATTAAATGTAGGCTCTGTATTCTTTTTCAGCACAACGAATGTTTATTACTTAATGCATCCAAAGGCCACAAATACTTTTCTTGGTAGATCTATTCCAGATACAATAGACATTTTTCATTACCTGCATCCTTTTTCTAGATTGATGACTTTTAGTGAGTTGCTAGTGTTCATGTTGTTGTTGTTATGTGCTGTCGAGTTGGATCCGACTCAAAGCGACCCCTCCTTGGGTTTCCGAGGTAGTATTGCTACGGAAGTAGGTTGCCCCATCTTCCTTCCGAGGAGTGGCTGGTGGGTTTGAACTGCCAGCCTTCTGGTTAGCAGTCAAATGCCTTAGGCACTACGCTGCC